ATCACAATGAAATACCATTCCATGCTTACAAGGGTGGATATCATCAAAAAGACAACAGCAAGTAGGACCAAGGCTGTGGACAAACTGGAACCTTCACACACAGCTGATAGGAAAGTAAAATAGTGCAATCACTTTAGAATACATTCTGGCAGCTCCCCCCAAAAGTTAAACATTAGACTTACTACCCATGGGTATATGCCCAAAACAAATTAAAACAAATGTTTACTCATAAACTTATACATGAATGTTCGTAACAGCACTGATCATAAGTTCATAACTGGAAACAACCTAAATATCCATCAGTTGGTGAGGTAGATAAATAAAATGCCACATAACCATAGAAATGGAACATTCTTTGGCCACGAAAATGAGGTACTGATAAAACAGCATGCTTCACAAAAACCCACATACTACGTGATTCCATTTAAACAAAATGCCCAGATAAAACAAACCTAAAAGGACAAAAAGTAGACTGACTGCTGCAACTGTGAAAAGGTATGGTGTTATCTTTGTAGTGTAAACAAAATGCAAAAGCAATTATGATAATTACACAACTCTGAATATACTAAAAACCTAAAGGTATAAAATTAATTTTACACTTTATAGCTGAATAAAGCTGTTTAAAAAAAATAAAGCAGAGCCACGTTCAATGAACAGATTTCTGAAATACTAGAAATAAAAAGTGCAAACTGCTAGTATAATTGAATTACTTCTCACTCCCCTTTTTTGGCTTATTTTCTTTATGTTTCCCAAATGAAAACATAAAATTCAAACAAATCATTTTATCTTAGTCTCAATTTCCAAAAAGTAATAAGGATTCTCTGTCATTCCCGTCCATGTTCATAAACCTACTACAAACTTTAGTAGTATCAGACCTAATAGAATTTGAACTTAGCTTCTCTGTGATGCAGAGGAACAAAACACTTGACATGATAAAAACTTTAATTTTAATTTGGAGATTCTCTGGCCTACCAGCTGCTTGCATCAAGGAAATATGAGTGAACATTTTACAGATATCCACAGATTTAGGATCGCAGCTTTTGATGACTTTAGAACAAGCAGACATTTATAAAGTGCAGTGATTCTACCATTTAGAGCTCTTTAAGAATTTAGCATGAAAATGACCTACCAGTTAAGCATGTGCAATTCCAGCAACAGCTCAACACCTCTAACTCAGCTGGTGGCATGAAAACAGGTGTGGATCTACAGAGGCCTTAGGATAAAGCCCCTGCAAATGTCATGGGTGAGTTATATTATCCAACGTAAGTATACAGGCCAAGCAAAGTATTTTGTACTATTCACAGGAAATACTCTAAACATATACCAAATTTCAATGTGTAATTTTCTATACCAATGACCCCGCAGACTATGACTTTATGACAGAAATTTTTTCTTAGATACAAAGTTTTGTTTTTAAACACTCTTTAAATTATCATGTAAAAAAAAAGAAGAAAATCTTAACTCAGCTTCAAAACTAAAACCATGTTATTTCATCTTTATCCCATTCTAGAACAAAAAATTAGAAACCAAAGAAACATTTATTTCCTATAGGAAGAAAAATTGAGCCTATTAAATCATTTGTGGATGCTCTTTTAAAACAACACATAAGAGAACAGGGGGTGAAGCTCAGTTGTAGGTGAATGCTTAGCATGCACAAGTCCCTGAATTTAATCCCTATTAGCAAAAAGATAAAATTTAGGTTTATTCAAAACCTAAAGGTGAGGGTGGTGAGCCCTGGCTGTAATCCCAGCACTAGGGAAGCAGGGGCAGGAGGACCATGAGTTAAAACCAACCTGTACAACATATTTTATGTGTCTTAATAAAGTAAAAAATAAATAAACAAATTACAGCTGTAATGTTGTAATCTCAACTATTCAAGAGGTAGAGATCAGGATTTGAGACCAGCCTCGGCAAAAAGTTAGCAAGACTTGTCAACAAACAAGCTGGGTATGGTAGAACACAACTGTAAATCCCAGGTACACAGGAGGTAGAGATGGGAAGATCATGGTTTGAGGCCAACTCAGGCAAAAGTGAGAACCCATCTCAACAAGTAAGGCAGATGAAGTGACTCATACCTGTAATCCCAGCTACTTGGATCCACACACAGCCAGTCCGTCAATAATAAAATCCTTTTCCACTCTGACTGCCTGTACTTACAAGTAAACTCACAGATGATCCTTCAAACATAATCCTTATCTGTGATAACAGAGACTAACAACTGTCCACAGAACTGAGAGGCAGGGCTGCAAAAGGTAACTGCACTGGGAGCTAATACACAAAGGGAGTACTGAGGAAATGGTCTCCTCTGAAGTCAAATGGGATGCACTGATTACGTACATAAGGGACTCAGACTACTTCTGTTAGGCAGACAGCTTTAACTTCCTGTATTTCTGTAAGTTAGTTCATTATAGCAAATGGACCACACCTAAAGGCAGCATGGAATGTTTAAAAATCAACCACAAAAGCATTGTTAGCTTTGGCCAAAAATAAACCAAACTAAAATTATGCTCTAATTTCTCTTTCTAAAGACAGTAACCACACTTTCATTGAAATATAGATGGGCAGATTTACTATGAACCACAATCAAATATTTGACACCAAACAATCCAAAGACCATAGTAATCCACTTAGCAAGCATACTAAGCATCTATACTGAGCAGCACAGACAGAGGAAATGTAAAAGGAATCACCAGTTACCAAGATCCAGGCAGAGGGATCCTCTGCTTGCCATCCTGAGACCTGCAAGACCCAATCAAAGTGACTATTCTGGAACGAACAAAAGGAGCCAAAGCCACTGCACTGCAGGCCCAGCTTCTGAAGCAAAATTCTTAGCTAGCCAATCCTCAGACATGGACATCCTTGCAAATTTTCAGAAGCAGGAAAATTAAGCAAAATAGGTATATTTCCTGAAACTGTCTGAAAAGCTTATTATGTCTGACTTCTACATAAAAAAAATCAAAAGCTACTGTATGTATTGCTTTATTTCTAAAAGGCTCTCATACCAACCAGTATCATTAACTAAGGCTCAATGGATAAAGTAAACCTCCAAATTTCAGATGATACCACAGTTGCACTTCTTTTACTTTAAATAGAACTATGGTTCAATTAATTTATTAAATAGCCATTATGCTTACAAAATTGGCTTAATTAAAATATTATTACTTAAATTACTGTCTTAATAAGTCAAAACTAAACTACACAATCCAAGGTATTAGAAATATCTAAGAGCAAAGCTGCAGTTTATGTCACATGGTATTATATGTGAATTTCATTTCTCAAATTGAGCTTTAAGCTAAGCATGATGGTACATGCCTATAATCCCAGCACTCAGGAAGGTGAAGCAAGAAGATTGTGTATTTGAGGCCAACTTGGACTACATAGTGACACTCTGTCTCAAAAAAGAAAACAAAAAAACAACAAGCTCTGTTGGTTCATGCCTATAATCCTAGCTACTCGGGAGGCTCTGATAAGGAGGATAACAGTTCAAGGCCAGCCCAGGCAAATAGTTTGAAAGACCCCCATCTCCAAAATAACCAGAGCAAAATGGACTGGAGCCCCAAGCAGTAGAGCACCTGCTTTGCAAATGTAAAGCTGAGTGTAAACCCCAGTCTCGCCAAAAACAAAAAAAGAGTTTCAAACAGACTCATTAAAACAAAGTAGTTTATTTTGCCAATAATCTGTTGTCAAAATTTACGCAAGAAGCATACAAATTAAGTTTATGCATTTACCAGTTCAGTTGTTAGTTACAAAAAATAATACATGATATAATTGTATATTTTTTAAAGAGTCACATCATTAAAAACAAGCACTATCTTACGAGACAGAGATTTTTTAAATTAATTCAAACCTGAGTTTATCCACAAGTCAATTCACTTGTATGAACTGGCCACCAAAAATGAAATAATGATTTGGCATCTGAAACAGCTTTGTTACAACAGTCTCAAGCATGACAAAGTCACGTTCAATGGTCTTAAACACAAAGAAATTCTAGTCTACTTGAGTGAAACATTCTTTGAACATTATTAGTACAAGTTTACCTACTGTACATGACTCTCATGTAAAGAAGCATATTAGATTCACCACAAACATAATAAGCCTTATCAGAACTTTCCTGTACAAAACAGTTGTCAACTAGCCATCTATCAACAGAACCATCTGCAAAATTCTCACTTTCATTAATGCTGCTTATTTTTGTTTTCACATAAAAATAAGACCAATAAAATCAGAAATCATACCAAATAATAAATTCTACCTGTATTCGATCTTAGAAACATTTTCATCTACCCTCTCACATTCAATGCATAAGACTATCAATTTAAACTATAAAAACTCAATGTTGACCTGGTTTTACTACTGACCTCATATCAAAACAGGAATGTCTTAAAATAGTCAAATAACCATCTTCCAACTATTACACCAGTATAAGGTAGGAGGTTGTTTTCTCTCCTTTTCTTCTATGTACAGGTATAATATTAATCATTTCCAGACAAATACTTTTATTTCCTCTAAGTAAATGCTGACCAGAGAAAAGGAGGTGGCCATAAAGGGATAGAGTGTTTTATATTTAACATCATTGCCTCAAATCATCCATTCCCACTCAGTCACAACAGATGACCATAAAAAATAATGTAAACCATAAATAAATACTGCTTACTGCTCCTGCACTTTTAAAACTCAATTTCTAACAAGACAACAATTGAATAATTTCAAACAGCAAATATTTTAACCACACCATTATTCCAAGAAAAGATTGTGTTACCCTGTAATTTCATTATCTTATTGCATTACACTACTTGTGGCAACTTCACTCTACCACTGCAAACATACTTGCTAAATATACCATTTCTTCACAGAGACAACAATCTTCCAGTTATTCAAATCCAAATCACAACAATGTTTTTACTCATTAGTCAGACTACAACAGAGTTACACAGCAGACCAAGAGTTCAAATGTACCTTCTGCAAAAGATACAAGCAAATAAACATCAGTAAGTACTTACCTACAATTGGGAGGAGGGTCCAACGTAATTTCTGCAAGTTCCTTCTGAATTCTTTAAAATGAAGACAAGGAAAGTTATGTCAAAATAACTTGATTCTTAATCTATTTTATCAAAATGTTGAATTTTAACAGCAACACTTCCCTTCTGTATTGTTTTTTAATTTAAATATCAACCCAGTATAAGAAGACATCATACATAATAATGAAGTAACAATTCCCCCAGTTTTGAGGACGAACCTAGAAAGGGTGAGGGAACCTCCACTATCAGTCCCTGAGTCCTGTGGAAATGACACTGTGACTTCATCAAACTGCAAAGGCACTCTCTTCAAGTTAGGATTTTCTTTTTTTTTCTGTCTTTTTCAGTTCTAGCTCCCTGCAAGGAATATGGTTCTGTGAGCGGAGATAGCCCTCTCCCAAAAGCCCTGCACCTAACTACAGCTCTGGTAACTGGTGCCCACAGCAAAATCTATGTATGCGTACTTCTTGGCTTTGATTCTCTGTCCTTTCTATAAATTGTAGTACTGCTATGGGAAGGCAAAGACGGCAAATGGCACTCTACCCAGTTTGGGTTAAAACTGTAAATAAATCCATTTTTCCATTTTATATACTCTATGTCATCTTTCTCTAGAAGCATGCAAGCAGCCAGACCCAGAGCAAGGCCCTATGGCTGGGGGCTCCAGTTTAAATAAAAAAAAAAAAATTGCACTAACCAAAATTTCGAGTTTAAATTGAAAATACCTGCCACATTATTTATGGATCATTCTAACTTCTTATTTGTATTCAAACACCCCACATAGAGTGGAAAGCTGATCATATGAAGTTCAACACAAGCATCCTGACTGATTCAACTGATTGATGAAGAACAGGAATATAAGGATCTCATTCCAATATCTGAAACTGCTACCAAAATATATATGACATTCTTTCCTGAAGCCTAAGGTGAAACATGTTGGAGCTTTCAAGTTTGACACCATTCCTTCTTCAAGAACTATCCTAATATTAAATGAATATTTTAATGGCATTACATGAGCTTCCTACAAAAAAGGGAAATAGTTTAAAACCTGCCCTGCCTCATGTAACTTTTTTTTGTGGGGGGAGGGGGATGCAGGAGGTTGAACCTAGGGACTCCCATAACCACTACCAGAGTTCTATCCTGAACCCTCTCTGTTATTTTCTGCTTTTATTTTTAGATACAACTAACACCCTATATACATATATAAAGACTAACAGGGCTACACTGTTTTCTAAGAATACAATTAAACAACTTCTTAACTTTTTTATCATTCATGCCTTCCTAAACTTGGGCTTTGTTAAATCAAATTTTAAAAATTATCAAAAGATCTTCTTCTTTGCTTTGTTTGTTTTGTTTGGGTTTCTTTTTGTTTGGTTGGTTTTGTTTTGTTTTTTCTTGGCAATACTGAGGTTTGAACTCAGGGCCTCATGCTTGCTAGGCAGGCACTCTACCAGACCTGCTCTGTGTTGGATTTTTTAGAAACAGGGTCTCTCGAACTATTTGCCCCAGCTAAACTTTAATCCTTTGTCTCTCACATGGGCCCGGTGCCAGTGGCTCATGCCCATAATCCTAGCTATTCACAAGGCAGAGATCAGGAGGATTGCAGTTCAAAACCAGCCCAGATAAATAGTTTGCGAGACCCTATCTCAAAAAATCCTCACACAAAAAAAGGGCTGGTAGAGTGGCTCAAAGTGTAGGCCCTGAGTTCAAACCCCAGTACCACAAAAAAGAGAGAACAAATGGAACTGCTAGAATAAAGAGAACTTTTTCAATAGGATTATTACCAACTTCCTAAAAAACTGTAAGGATACACAATTTTCACTTCTCTAATCCATATGATTCGAAGTTGGGAAGGCACTAAAGAATCAAAAGCAAAAAAACTTTCATTTTAATTCTGCTATGCCATTTGGTCTATGGGTAAAATACCACTCACAACTGCTCTCTCTGTGCCTGAGTTTCCTGTCCTAGGACAAACTCTATGATCACTTTTATCTTTAACACACTGTAATTTTCTTTCAATACAGATTCTATGGTGTACTTACAAGCACATGAGTAAATATGGCCCCAAATTAAAAGATCTCAAAGGGGTGGAAGGACAGTCAACAAAGAGAACAGGGGTGGCAGAAGGGTGTAAATCAAACAGGTTGTAACCTACAAAAGGGAGCTACAGGATGTATAAGGACATGCTAAAGATTGGGGATGGGTCTATAACCCAGTTGTAGAGACCTTGCCCAGCATGTAAAGACCCTAGATTTGATCCCTGGTAGCACCAAAAACAATAAAAAATAAAAAATAAAGATTCAGGGGGTGGAGAAGAGTATAATTTAAAAAAAAAAGCTATTGGTCAAAGGCTGGAGGTATGGCTCAAATAGTAGGGCACCTGTCTACCAATCAAGAGATTCTGAACTCAAAACTCCAGTACTGTCCCCCCACCAAAAAAAAAAAAGTATCAAATATGAAGGAAACTTAAAAAACATATGTTCAATCAAGTAATAGATGTTAAGAGGGGGCAGAAGAGATTTGATCTATTTTGCCTAAACGGTAGGACTTACTGAACATTGAATAGCCCAGGAATCACAACAATGGACTTGTAGGAAATTTAATTCCAGTACGCTGTTTCATCTAGCATTGAGTATTTATAATTACACAATTTCTTAGTATTTTACTAATAGACAAAGCACAGACAGGTGTGGGTCCCTATATAATGTAAATGTTGTGAACCTTGAACTTTGAAGATGTGAAATTAATTATAGCTAATAAAAACCAACTAAAAGTAGACAGAGGACAACAGTGAATAGATCAAAGAATGAAAGTATTAATGTCTCCATTTTACAAAAGCAGGAAATCAAGAAATACTGCTGAAATTTGAAGGAACAAGAAATAAAAGCTTAACTATATTCTTTATAGTATAAAGACAACCAATGATTTTTTAATGTAACTATCATTAACTGGGAGGAGGGAAAAGGAAGGAAGAACAAGTAAACAAACTAAATCTTATTAACTCAAAGCAGGGAGTCAAAAGACATCATTTAGCAATCAACAAATAAGAAATACGTGTCTTATTTATAGTTATGACTAAAAATTTTCTTCAAGGGAATGAAATTGGGACTACTGAGGAAGATGGGACAAAAAAATGCTGCTTTCCATTTAATAAATACCTGTACTATTTAATTTGCTATGAAAAACATAACTTCTGCTATGAGTAACTTTTATACATTTTTTTAAATAAAAGAACATAAAGAAGATGCATTCAAAAAAGCATGCTTAAACTATCAAAGAATACCTTCCCCACCTCGCCCCGCCTCCCACCCCGAGAAAGGGTTTGGTGAGGTAGCCCAAGCAGACCTCTTCCTCTGCTTCCTAAATGCTGGGATTACAGTGTGCACCACTGCACCCAACTGAAAACCATTTTTAATATAAAAGATATTTGTTGGGATTTTCAAATAATTCATCTTACTTTAAGGTTAAAAAAACTGATAATCATAATTTCCTGTCACCTAATTCTGCAACAGAACCTAATCCTCTCAGATGACTGTAATTCCAAATCTGTATTAGTCAATACAAAAGGCAATTTACTGATAAATTTGACAGCTCTGAGCAATGAGCCAATATATTATATTTTGAGCCACTGTTACCTAAGAATGGTTGTATTTCTCTTGACAGAAAAGATTATACTAAGAATAGCTATTTAAACATTTGCAAGAAGTCCTGCTGTTTTCAATGACAGCAATTCAATTCTATCTCAGAAGTTGTGATCATGGTATGTATTAAGTCTCTCAGTCCTGACATGTGGATTAAAGAAGGTAGCTATTTTAGGCACTGTCCTTTAGGGTGAGGAAAAATGAAAAAGTATAAATAATTCACACTTACAGTTGTACCTTTCACATGATGATCTTAGACTGTTAAGCAGCTCAAAGAACTCTCTATTATTGTTTTATCAGTGCTCATTTAAAAAATAAGAAACTAAGGCTAGTTATTTTATGCAGGTTGTGTGAAAGACTAAGGCAATTATCTGCTAAGTCAAACAAACAAAAAGAACTCTTTTACCAGAACCTTTAAGACAAAATTTTTTAGACATGAATCAACTACACAATCACCATCAGCAACTATGGCACAAATAAAGGTTACAATGATATACAAGCTAGCAAATGCACATACTACTAAGACAAGTCAGGAGCAAATTACAAACTGAATCATGATTCACTCAGACAAGTGAAGAATATGGTGCCAAAACTACACAGAATGGAGAAGATATAAAACACTCATTTTTAAATCAATACAATGAATCAAAGGATTAGAAAGATGAAGCAGTGTAGATGTACATTACACAAACACCTATCTTGAGTTAAAGAAGTTCACTAACTCATACAGGGCCAAGTAGAACATGAATATGCAAACATGGAGATTCAGAAAAGTGAGTTCTTAGCAGTTATTTTTTAAAAAAAAAAAACCTCTTTATCACACCTAGGTGACTTTCTATATTCCCCTACCAGCTACATTCCTCAATCACCTAGACACTCCAATTCTAACCAACGGAACCAACTTCTTTGCAAAAATCAACTTATTCTCAAGAAAGCATCATAGTATTTATTTTAAAATTTTTAATGTCAAAGCAGCCACTAGAAAACACACTGCCCTTGCACATAAGCCTAGAATGCAATTCTGAGTGGTGATAACACTTTCACACCTGCCATTCTAAGAGACTACCGATTTTAAGAGACATTATCAATTAAGTAATTATATATAGCAACTGTAAGATGCATCTTGATTTCAAAGTATTAAAAAGTTCTAAGATGTACATTTAGAATCAAGACACTACAGCAATTACAAAAGGTTAACTATGAGCCATACTACTTCATTCTCATTTAGAAAACAAACTCGGGTAAGCCCACACAATAAAAGCTCACAGTGTAACATGCTATAATCCTCCTTTCCACCTATTTCTAGAATATAGAAATATACTGAGTATCTAATAGCATCAAAATACCTATTCTGAACAAAGCTAATTTGAAATAAATGTCATTTAAAATTCACATTTACCAATGTACCAACATTAAATCAGCAGCAGAGTCAATTCAATGAAGAGCTCAAAATAGATGTTTCATTGAACTGACTAGTCAATTTAATCAAAATCATCTAAATTTGTCACTGAAGATAACAGTCCAACTACATACTTGCAAATACAAGAGTAACCTGATATACCAAGACAACAGGCTGCGATAAAGCACCCCAATATTTAAGAAACAAACTCTTGCCAAAGAAGGGCAAGAATACATTAACGATGAACCCTTTCCAACTCTGAAAGACAAAAATTAATGAGTATTAATGTTTTAATACTCACTTAACGTGTGTATCACTGTTCTGCAATACCTCAAAACTGAGATTTTTTTAAGAAAAAATGTTTCTACGATGAATTATTAATCGAACAATTACACCACATTTATTATAGCAATTATCAGTGCCACAGTTACAGCATATTTCACTTAGTAACTGAGCCCCTATGTGCAAAGCACTTTTCCTGAGTTACTATAAAATGTATTTAATTATAGCATCTAAGTACTTCTAGTTTAGCAGCAGCAGTAAGTCCTCGGACATTAACATATACTTCATTTTGCCAAAGTTGGTAAAATGCACTTTAAAAACATCCTTGTAGACTTTAACTGGCACAAAGTCTATAACTGACAGCTTGTGTTTATGAGAGCTTACTATGTGCCAAATAAACTCAGATTTAGAACTCATGACAGTCCTCTGAAGAGGGTGCCATTATGTCCATTTTATAAAAGAGGAAACTGAGGCAGCCAGGAATGATGTAATCCCAGCACTCTGGAGATTGAGGTAGGAGGATCACAAGTTTGAAGCTAGTCTGGGCTACACAGTGAATTCCATACAAGCCTAGACTACACAGGGAGACCCTGTCTCAAAAAAAAAAAAAAAAAAAAAAGCAAAAACAGAGAAAAGTGAGGCTTAGAGATGTTAAATTATGCATTCAAGATCAGAAAGCTAGTAACTAAGTCCTAGAAACTAGATTCAAACCCAGATCCTGTCTCTTTGAGTTCAAGTTTTTTACTACGACTGCTTCTCTTATAGAATGACATGATTTAGGAAAAACTACTCATCTGAATAAAAATTATTAAATTTTTTAAAGTACAAATTGAAATTTTATTTTAAAATTAACTCTCAGAAACCTAACTGAACTCCTAACACCCAAAAGAAAAATCTACTCGCTACAATTCAAGATTCTAAGGCAACCAATAAAAAAATATTGTGAGCCTATCATGCTAGGCTCTTTGGATACAGTGAGAAATTTAAAACATTTGGGTCCCCATGATCTCGTGATTCTCAATTTTACTATAGTTCTTAGAACCTTAACAGAGAAGAGAAATGACCAATTAACTTTACTATTAACTGAATTGGGATAAGGAAGAGAAGAAAGAAGATAATTAAACTTTTTTAAATTAAAAAATTAGCAGTAAAGTACCATTTCTATATTTAAAATACATAGTAAATGACTAAGTCATTTCGTACACTGTCACCCATTAATCACCTGAGAAGCTTATAGAGGAAAACCATGAACCACAACTTGAAGGTCACAGACTCACAAGAATGTTTTTGCCAATGGAGACATTCTTTTGACAAGGAAGCAACTCAACAGATATTTCTTACTTTCATCAATGCAACAGTTTCATTTCTTATTGGGTGCCAATCAGGTACTATCCTGGACTCTTCACAGTGCACTAACTCTAAAGTAGGTTTAATCCCCTATCTAAAAAGGAGGAAAATATCTTCCTTCTGTAGTTTGCCTCATGAAATCACTAGGTTTCAATATAAAATCTGTATTTTCTATTCCTCCCTTCCTTATCCATCCTAATCCCACCCCTACTTCCCAGAAGCATATCATTTTGCATTGTGGCCAGGGAAGAAAAGAATCAGACAGCTTGTGTGGTAGCAAAAACAAACTGAGGACTAGAGATGTGGCACAAGTGGTAGAACACCTGCCTTGCAAATGCAAAGCCCTGCGTTCAAACCCCAGTCCCACCAAAAAAAAGAAAAAAAAAAAAAGAAAAAACTGAACACTTTCCCACCCCAGCATGTGCCAGTTTAGAGGTTTAAAGCCTTAGTAGTCAGGGCTATCTGACTTGGACACAATTCCTTCAACAAAGGTCGTGGATGGGCAACACCCCTGGGAAGGGGAACAGACCACTTTAGTACCTTGACCAGACTGATGACCACTCACCGTCAATCCGATGTCTCTCACCAACAGGACTGAGGTTACTTGGTCATAAATACTTAGTCAATCACAGGGAAACAAAGTCTCTAATCTTTGCAAAATGAGTTCCTCCTAATCTACATCATACAACAGAAAATAAAACTATCATTCAACACGCAGACATTCCACTGTACCTAAAACATGTTGTGGGAAGAAAGTTAACACCCACAGACTGCTATTATTCACAATTCCTATTTGCTACCAAAAAAAAAAAAAAAGGCACAAAAACAAAGTAAGAATATAAAACCCCAAGATCAGGTAAGACTCAGCTAATTTAATTTACCTTTCAAATTTTGTAATGCAACAATATCAAACCTGATTCCAAGTCCAATGACAAGCGAATCATCATAAGAGGTTGAAGGGGCAGTAAAAAATCAGTCAAATACCTACTTCAGGTCTGTCTATTCTCTAGGGAAAAAGCCAATCTGTATCAAGACTGACGCACTGCTTAACGTCATGAGACCAAGAACCATTTCTTGTTAACTTTAGCACTTTACCACATCATTCAGTAATGACTTCAATAGATTCTTAAGCTCTATTCTGCATTAGTTTTAATACACACACATTCTGTACGAGTTCCCCCAACAAAATATAAACACACATGAACCCTCTATGGGTATGTATTGGATAACTTGTCATGCCACAACTGACTATATAAAAAAGTTAATCCTAAAGGAAAAAATTCCATGAACTTTATAGCCCATGTTCCAGAAAAATGACTAAATACAAGAAAAAACCCAGAACAGAAGATGATAAATTGATAACAAATTAAAAGGTTACCATAACTAATGTACCTTTTAGCACTAGTTGACAATTTAGCAGCTGTTTTGCTGGATATTTTTCCCTCCTTTTTCTTGGGCTGAACTTGCTCTCTTTCTGGTTCTTGCTGAACACTTTCACGTTGATCTCCATCGGAACTTCCTCCACTAGTGCTTGGACTGTCATCAACTCTTTGTGCCTCAGTGGACATTTTAGATCCTAGATTTAAGAGTCAAAAGTCATTTATTCAGCTGTGTGGAGGACTACATAATACAGTAAGGTACTTCCAGAATGGAAAGAACCTGAGCCTAAAAATAGAACAAGTAAAATTCAGTAAAAAAAACTAAAGTTGGTCATTTACAAAACTTTGTAACCTTTGGAGATTGTCGGAATTGTCTTTTAGCCAGTCAACAAAATTTATACACAAAATGTTGACAGCAACATTATTCATGAAGTATCCAATAGTGAAAATGTTCACTAACTAATGAACAAATAAAAAAAAATAGTATATCCACATAACAGTATTACTCAGTCATAAGGAATGAAGTACAGTACTTTCATGTTACATTATGAATCATTAAATTGTTATGCTAAGTTAAAGAAGTCAGTCACAAAGGACCACAAACCACACAAGTCCATTTACATGAACTATCCACAGCAGGTTAATCCATGGGAGCACTGAGAGAGAGCAGGAGTGAGGAAAGAAAGGGGAGTGACTGATAACGAGTATAGAGTATAAAGTTTCCCTTTTAGAGAATGGGTGATGATGAAGGACTGTGTAAACAGTCTAAAAACCACAGAGCTACACATCTTAAAAGGGTGACTTTAAAGCTGGAGGTGTGGCTCAGTGTAGAGCACGTTCAGCACGGCAAGGCCTAGGGTTCAATCTCTAGCAACAACAAAATGCGGGGAGGTGAATTTTATAATGTGGAAAGGATTAAGAGCCTAATCTCTACCAGGCACTGGGCTAAAGCCCTTTGAACCCAATGGAAAATTTGGGCTAGTAAGTAAGCCATCTTGCTAAGCGCCATCAGAGAGGTCAGTGCAAATGGAGGGGACACTGACACATTCATACCCAACGAATAACTCCTCAGAGCTGGGCTGCAGTTGAAATCCTATAAACCAGTAAATTGTTTCAAGTAACCTTTGTGATAACAGAAGAACACAGAGGCCTCATGATTTGGAATAAAAACTGAAGTATCCAATGGTGTGGGCACTGACCCAGCTATATACTAAGCAACCATGTTTCACAAGAGATAGACTATTGTGACAATGAAGAATTCATTTTTTTCCTGTCTGGATGAAATATCCCTCAAGGCTTTGAAATCCTCTTGGCTCTGAGTTCATGCTCCCCAAGCAGTTCTGATTACCAATTCAATTTCCTCAATACCTGGATACCTAGGTAGCTATTACAGCCTAGACAGCAAAAACAAAAATTTCAGTAAGTGAAAAAGGATAACCCCTTTCCCTGTCATTCTGTCATCATCAATTTCTGAATTTGATTACCGTGACTATATCCCTTATGACCCAACTAGCTCAGAGTGTACTGACAAATCCAGAACTTAACTAACAAAACTGATGCCCAGACAAGACTAGTGTTCACCATGGCAATGTCAACAATAATCTCTTCGAGCACTATGCAACTACCTTCCAGACACTTTAAAAATTAAAACTAGCTGTGTTTAGTTGATACCATTAGCAACACACACACACACAAAATGCCTTTAAAAAAGATAAAATGAACAAATTGTTGCTGAAAAGGATAATTTTTTAGTACTTTTAATCAAAATAAAGCTAGAAAAAAAACTTATTCTGATATGATCAAGAATAAGAATAGGTAAAAGAAAGAAGTATCAAATAAAGCATAGTTTATTACTCTAATCTCCTCCACAAAGACAGCTGGTTGACACAGCAATATTCATCATGAAACATTTTACTTATAGCTTGCAATTCTGTAATACAAACCTTTAATAGACTGCAATTTTAATAAAACAGACTAAAAAGTAGTACAAAATAAACGACTGCAAAAGACTGGAAGACTCAAAGAGAGAGAACGCATCAAGAAAAAATGCTGAATGCCGGAATGCCTTCAAACTCCACACACACACACCACCACCCTCAATTCTAACAGCTTCCTTCCCCCATGCCAAATAAAAAAAAGCCTGCCCAAATAGCTCTGAAATACACTGACAGTAAATCTGACTGCTATTCTTCTTATTCTGTAAATGGAAAGCATCAGTCTCCACAGCTATGACATCTTTTATGAGCACTAAAGTCACTTAATAGAATACTGAAATTTTCTATCTATCAGTATGTTTCATGTTTACCTCTAAACATCCAAATACATTTCTTGGGCTTTTTTTCCATTTTTGCTTCACTTTTTAAATTATCATTCTTGAATTTAATTTTTTTTCATCATACTTCTTTCAGTTAAAACACATCAAGAGTTTAAAACCATGTATGTAGATAGCTTACATGTAGACAGAGCAGATGTGCAAGGGAGTGAAAAAAGAGGATTTCTCATGTAAAGATGCTCAGATACAGCAAAATCCTGCCAACAGTACTTTAAGAAACGTGAAATGAGTAAGAAATCATTTTATACATCTTAAACCAGAAGCAATCCATTATATGACAAATATATAGGCACCTAAATGAAATAAATAACTATGATTTAATAAACTGTGCTGAGAGTTTCAGCTATGTATCACATTACTTATAAAGCTACACATTTATCTCCATATTCTTGTTTATGTGTATTTACATACTATCCAATCATACCATGATTATATAATTATTTTAAAAGACTACTCAATAATATAATGAGCTATGATCTGAAACTGAAATGTCATAAGCTACTCCAGAATATCAGAAGACTAAAGTAAAAATTATTATCACTAGGGAACTAAAAATACTATTAAAGGGATAGGGGTATAGAGCTCAGCAGAAAACTGCTTGCCTCACATGTCGGAGCCTGGGTTCCATCCCCAACAAATCCCCCCAAAAAAAGCATTAAAAATGCCAATAGAAGCATAATTTCTGTAGTTTCACAACTTAAAAAATTATTTCACTTTTGATCTAAGACAACTTATTTCAATCAAATCCTAACCAAAACAATAAACTCATCTGAAGCCAGTAACCTTTTAAAAATAAAAGTATTTGTATGACTTTTACAAATATCAACAAAAGGAATTTCTCATGATTTTCTTCATGTCTGATTACAGAAAAAATATGGGACAAAATGATTTTACATCCAGTACACCCACTTTTTATGATTAGAAAGTATTCTATGAATCATTTCAATTAGCTATAAGTACAAAATTGGTGTTTTATCTCTTTAAACTGCAAATGAATAAAAATTACTGTTAAAACTTTTTAGAATATTACTTCCAAATTAGTATTTAAAAATTAATTCCTAGATAGCTAATCCAATTTTGAAATGTAGTAGGAAGATGAATTTCAGAGTTAGAAGCACTCTCCAATGATAGTTTCAAACATGTTAAGATAAACTGATATTTTACTTCATATTCAAAGTAAAACTTGGTTTCTAAACATAAAACAGTAAGGTAGGTTTTCTTAAAACATGTTATATTTAAGAGTTTAAATATTGTTACTTTAACACACAAATTGTATAAGCTTGTATTAGCTTTGTACTCTATGTTGTAATCACAATCCTAGAAATTACTACATATAGTGAATGAACTCACTTGTCCCATAAAAAGGAAATGATTTGGCTGTAACTATTACTGATGGCATAAAAACAACTATAGTCACTCCTTAAGTCCACATTACTATCCAGATAAGCCTTGTAATCATATCTCATGGTATAAAACTGTAAAAGCAAGTGTTCATTTTAGTTTTTATAACAGGAAAACATTTAATTCTGTCATCTGTCTTGTAGTCTTCCTACTCACATGTCTAAAGTTTTCTACAATGTAAAATGAAATAACATCTAACAATATCCAGCTTTTAACTTGTGCAGGCAATAACAGTGCAGCACCTGATTTGGGGGAATGTGACTGTATCCTAGGGGCGGCAGAACAAGGTATGACATATGAAAACACTCCATCTTCATCATCAAATCACATTATGAACTCCAAATGGCCAAGGAGCATCCAAACTGAGTAACGGTAAATACTTAAATTCCCAAGATCCAGACTCAATTATCAAATTTTCAGAAACGCACTTTTCAAAGAATCACGGATTAAAACCTAAGAGGAGCTTAAAATCTTCCAAACAGCCAGCTCATCAGTGGGTAAGTCCTAGCGCTTGTTTCTGTACTTTAAAATAAAAATATTTGAGGAGACGCTCAAGAGCACACAATACAAAAACGGTGAGTCTTGAAAACATGCAAATGGGTCTAATAGCTATGGAGCACAGGATGATGTCTTTCTAAAACGGCCTTAATTTCCTTTAGGGAAGATGGATTGGACATTTCTGGTTGGTCGTGGGGGGGGGGGTTGAAGGGAAGCCACAAGAAGCCACGCTTTATCTTCATTAAAAATGATAAAGGGCAAAAGATCAAAACATTATGAGAGAAGAGGAGAGGGGGACAGAGGGGGAGGCAGGGGGGAATCCAGTTTCCAATCAGACCGGACCGGGGGTGGGGGGGGGTTGGGGGAGGCGTGCTGCAGAAAAGAAACCAGAGGGGGTAAAATGGGCTTGGGATCCAAACTGTGACCAACACCAGGCATCACAAAAGACCAAGACAACACCCATCACCCCAGGACACACATCAACACACCCCACAAGGGCCTCTGGAGGAAGGCGGAGCGGGACCCCAGCACTTGCCAGAGAAGACACCATGTGCAGCAATTATGCAATTAGGGAAAACAGCAAAGGATCAAGCCAGGCACTCTGCATCGTGACATTTATCCGGCACTTTTGCAAAGACTTAGTTCCAGGATGCGGCTGGGAGGGTGGAAAAGGACTGGGAACCGAGAACGGAAGGGGGTAAAGGAGGGCCAGAGGGACCAGGAGGCGAGGGGGGGAACAGAGCGGGGAAGGAGGGGGAGGGGTGGAAAAGGCGAGAAACGGGGCAGGAGGCTGGGGGGGGCGGGAACGGAGAGAAGTAGGGCGCGAGCGGGGACCCGCGGCGTGGAGGGGAGGCTAGAGAAGTGGGGAGCCACCGGCGAGTGAGGGGCCCCCGAAGCGGGGACCCCGGCGCGGCCCAAGCGAGTACCTGAGGGAGGGAGTCCGCAGGTCGCGGGCTCAAGCTAAGCGGGAGGGAACATGGGACTGCCGAGACGTGAGGGGGCGGAGGTTGGGGAGGTCTGGGAACCGAGTGTCCCCGCAGACCGTCTAATCACCGAGAGCCGGACCCACGCACCACGCACCCGACCGCCCGGCCACGCCTGTCCCCGCCGCGCTCGCTCCCGCCGGGACTCACCCTCAGCGCCGCCAACGCCGCCGCCCCTGGCCGTTCCAGCTCCGGCTCCCAAGGCTGCTGCCCGCGGCTGCGGCTGTAGCCGCCCCTCAGTCCTGGAAAGTGTAGCCGCCGCCGCCACCACCACCACCGTCGTCGCCGCCGCCCGGCCGTCCGCGCGCGCGCGCCCGCCCGCCAGTGCGCGTGCCCGCGCGCCCGCCCGGGAGAGACCGCGAGAGCGCGAGCCCCACGTCGGCCGTGCGGCGCCGCGCGCTCCCCCCGCCCCCTTCGCCCCTCCTCCGCCGGCGCGCGGCCGCGAGGGGGCGGGGGCGCGCGCGCACGAGCGGGCTGTCCTGCGGGCCATCAAGGGCTGGAAGGGGGTGGGGCGGGGGAAGAGGTGGAAAGGGACCCGAGCAAAAAAGTAAAGTGACAGCTGAGTCCCGCGTCCGGGCCGGGCCGTGGGCGAAGGGACGTCACACTGGGAAGGAACTGCACGGACAGGGAGAGGTGGGGGAAACCGAGGCTGACGGGGCGGCTTGAGGGGAGGGGACGCGGGGACCTTGACGGGCACGCGCATTAAAGGGAAACGCCGGCTGGGGGGGGGTGGGGGGACTTCCCCAAGAAGGTACAGGAGGCTCGGGAGGTGGGGGGGTGGGGCACTGCGAGGCCTTTTACCCCAACCCACACTCGCCTCTAAGCTTTCGCAAAGTCACTGCTGACCACTAACCACGGTAGGAAAACTTCCCGTTGGCCTTGGGAGGGTTGGCCCAGGTGAAGCCCGAGTCTTCACCTGATGCAGCAGCGCCAAGGTCCTTCTGTCTTTTGGCTTGCCCTCTGCCTGAACACTCCGGCCATTTAGCCCTGGATACTGGGGAGAAGGGTTGGAAAAGGGGGGGTGTGCAGCTGCTTCATTGCTCAGTTGAAGGGTATGGGAATAGTAGCTGTACTGTGGGTGGCCCCAAATGACCAGTATTCTTTGTTTTAAATGCATGCTTTGCCAATTCGGCTTCCATGAAATTTCCCCCACTCCCACCTGCAGCCCTTCTTTCCAACTGAGTGCTATCACTGCTCCTAAACTCCTATGCAGAGACTTTGGAGCTGTGTATGAGGAAAGTTGCCTGCCAGATAGGGCTGATGACAGATCCCCTCACACCCACCCTAAGGAAAGGGAGGGACCTAGGATAATCTAAGTCACTTAGATGTACCTAGTCAGGTACATAATTAGCTGAGGAAAAACAGCCTACCCAGTGCCCTGAGACCACCACGGGGCAATGACCAGAGCAAGTCAAGAGCCATATGTATGTGTAGAACTAAAAATTCTTTCACAAATGCCTTCTTAAAGAATTGGCTATTATGTTGAACATCCATGAAAACTGCCAAAAGCAAGTATCCGTGTCTAGCCTCAGTAAATCAGCACTGAGGAAAAATGAGAGAATAATTGTGTAGCACTTCTATGTGTTACTTAAGAATGTCAACAGGTCCTGTTATAACCCTTAAACTCTATATATTACAGGATTAGAAATTAGTATGTGCTGGCTTTATCAGTTATATAGCACAGGGTACAATATATTAGTAGATGTGGTACAGTATATTAGCAGAGAAACATGACGTAAGATGCATCCTATTTGCTTTTTAATACATAGATTATGACCAAATAGAGCATTTCATAGATTGCCTTATATATGTGCATAACTCATAAACCTTTGCATACTATTTTCATTTTACTGATTAGGTTTCAAGAATACAAGAATATCAAAGCCATGTGTTTTGAAATTTTTTGTTTTGTTTGCTTTTTGATGCTGAGATTGAACACAGGGCCTCCTTCATGCTAAGTAAGTATATGTGCTCTACCATTGAGCTGCATCCCCAGTCTCTTACCTCCTATGCTTTTCTTCAAACAAACTACTATGGTATATATTCTCCAGTTGGTTTGTGTTTATTTACAATGAATCTTTTATAACAAAATTCTCCTGTTAACAGCAGTATGGAGGTTGTGTTTTGGTCCTTGGTCATTGTACCTGGAGACAGGGATGCAATGTCAACTTTCATTATGTGGAAAGAACTGGAACAGGTCTCAGTGTTTGGTTGCTGAAACTGTGGTTGCACCATCCTTCATTTGTCTGCAGATATTTTTACCACTGTACTACTTACTAAGTTCAAAAAAGTCACCCTTTCCACTCATTCTAGAAGTGTTTATAAAGTGCCAGGCAATCAATATTATTTGAGTTTAGATAGTAGGAATATAATTTTGAATAAGAGAGAAAAATCCCTGTCCTCACAGAACTTCCGTATTCCTGATGCGTCTCAGTTTTACACTTTACATACAATTCATCAGCAAATTCTGTTGACTGCTTTCAAAAACATCTCTTGAAAGTGTCCACTCCTTCTCACTCCCCTCCTCACTGCTAATGCCCTGGTCCAATCTACCATCATGTCTCAATAATAGCTTCCTACCTGATCTTTCTACTTCCTTTCACCCACCTACACTGCCACCACCACCACCATCACCACTCATGTAGAGCAGTCTGAGTGTTTAAAAAAAAAAAAAAAAGGTTAGATTGTGTCTCTCCTTAAAAATTCCAGTTGCAGCTAAGCACTAGTGGTTCACACCTGTAATCCTAGCTACTTGGGAAGCTGAGCTCAAAAGGATCAAAGTTTAAGGCCAGCCTGGGCAAATAGTTCACGAGACGCCATCACCAAAAATGGATCGGAGGCATAGCTCAAGCTTAGAGTCTGCTTTGCAAGTGCCATGCCCTAAGTTCAAACCCCAGTCCCACCAAAATAAATAAATTCCAGTAGCTTTGCATTCTATAGCAACAACCAAAGTTCTTCCAGGGGCTACATACCCTGTTACCCTCAAGCAGGACCCCTCTGACCTCACTTTGTTCAATTTCTGCCCATCCTCATCTCTCTCCAGCCCCACTGGTCCTGCTATTAAGGAACACACCAAGCATTCCTCAGCTTCGAGACTCTGTAATTACTATTTATCTCTAGAACATCTTTCCCTCCTATTGCTCCCAAGAACTCCCTACTACTCCTCTGCTTTATTCTTCTCAGATCATCACCCAACATAACTTTTAGTTACTTATTTTAGTCTCTTCTTTTTCTTCCTTCTTTCACCAGCCCCTCTCCCACCACACACACCTTGAGAAAAGGGATTTTGTTAAGTGGGATTCATTGCTATATATGTTCAATAAATACTGGTTAAATTAGTGAGATTGAGTTCTTCCAGTTGATGTCATAATCAACATTGTTCTAATTTCTTCAATAATAATAAAAATAATTAGCACTTACTGTGTTGTGTGATAAGCAAAGTTCTTAGCACTTTGCATATGTAGATCACAAGCACCACATGGGTTGGTTTTACTCAATCAACCCCATTATACAGATGAGAACACTGGGGAACAAAGGAAATAAGTTACCTGCCCACAGTATTACAGATAATGAGTAGCAGAGCTGGGATTTGGAAACAGTAGTTTGGCTCTGGAGTTTGAACTTCAGGATACTTTACCATGAGTCCATGTTACAACGATAGATTTTTATTTAATGTTCCCAGTTCCTCTCCCCTGAGACTCAAACTTAAGTCTCCAAGACAAATAGTTCCCCTTTCTTACATTTCCTGTTCTGGTTCATCAATCTGTCATTATGAACTACTCCTTTACTACATGTTTTATTGCTGGACTTTAATACAGAGGCTACATTCTGCCCCATCTCTCCTTAGAATTGGCAAATGTGAATGTTTTTGAGGAGTCATCCTAACTTTGTTACTATCAACTTTATGAGAAGGTACAGATACAATTAGGTTTTCCAGTTTGGGCAGAAAATAAAAGAGACCTTTCTTGGGGACCTGAACTAGATTTCAACAGAAAGCATCAAACTGGTAGACCACTGCTGCTTGATCACATGCCTTCCATCCTTGTTGGGCACCCCATGAACAGGCATTTTGGATTATACTCCACAGAAGAAGCATTCTATTGGTTCAGGTTCACCAAAGAGTAGGGCTGAGAGAACAGGAAGACAGACAAGGATCTTTTGCTTAAGGCTTGTGTTGAGGAAGGCTGTAGGCACCCTGTGGTCAGCCAGAATGTTTGGAGTGTTAAAGAAGAGTAACTCTAATGTTGGAAAATTGAAGCTCCATTATCACTAAGACCTCAGTTCCTAGTACAATGCTGACACAACAGCACACAATACGTGCCTAACAAATGTTTGTTGCATAAATGAATGAATGAATTTCCAACAGGGCATGAAAGAATACCAATTCTCTTGACTTTCCCATTTGGTCAGGGACTGCTAACCTGGGCTTCCATGTATGCTTATGTATATATATCATACACTGCAAAATGTCCAGGGGTACCTCTTGCATAAATTAAAATGTGAACACAGAAGTGTGACTGCCTCTCCGACCCCTAACTCCTGCCCAAACATGGTTGTCAATCTCTAAGATGCTTCCAATGACCCTATTTCCTGGTGTTCACATCCTTATGTTCTCCTCCCACATTATACCAAGGTTGGATAATGCTGAGAAGTGATGATAGGTTACTTCCAAAATTAGTCTATAAAAGACATTGGGGTTTTGATCTTGGTTACATTCATGTTCTCCCTTTGTCTCTCATCTCGCCCTTTAGTGGAAACTGGCTGCCAAATTGTGAGCAGCCTATGAGGGGGAGGGGGCCCATGTGGCTAGAAACCAAGATCTCCTGCTAACATCCACATGAGCAAGCTAGAAAACAGATTCTTCTGCCTTAGTCAAGCCTTCAGACAGTGAAGACCTGATTAGCATCTTATCTGCAACCTCATGAAAGGCCTCGAGCCAGGAACACTCAGTGAAGCCACTCTTGAAGGTTGAGATAACAAATGTTTGTTGTTTGCAAGTCACTAAGTTTTGAGGGTAATTTGTTACACAGCAGTAGATGATTAATACTCTGCCCTCTGCATATCAAAGATGCTACAGCTGTGGCAGTTCCTACAGACTCTTCCCTGCAAGAGTTCCTAATGTAGGCAGGTGCATCCAACTTCCCAAAAATACAGATGAAAGTAGGTACTGAGATATGGGTAAAGTGTCTCAAGAGAAAGCAGAGGACAGGAATCGGAAAAAAAAGAAAAGTGGT